TTTGGTACGAATTCATATTTTGTTACAATTTTATACAATTAAATAGATATTTTGTGTATTTATGAATGAATTAGTGACTATTAGTCCTTTGTTATGTTTGTATTTTAATTATCTGATGAAAATGCATGAGACTATAGATTATCAATAGACGTTCACAATATCCCGGGGCATATAAATGGTTCAATTGGTTGTGACATCACTTTCAGGTTTTGAATTAATTTTATTATTTATGAGGTTTATAAGGGACTGATGACATTATTTAAATTATAGATTATTTCGCAATTTAAACTAACAATTTGCAACATTTTTGTTGTTTCATCCAACTTTATAAATATAAGTTTATTTATATCTACTTTAATAAAAGTATTATTTAATGATATCTAAATAATTAATTTTAATGCTGTATCTTTATAATAGTGTTATCGATAGTATAAATTTATAAAAGGTAATTTTATTTTTAAAAATTAGAAATTATCTAATTATAGTGAATTAATATATTTAAAATAGTTATCAATTTATTATTGGTATTAATTAATGTGAACACAAAATGAATAATTGAATTAAATTAACAGTTTAATTAACATGAATTTAAAAATTAAATTAAAAATTTTACTTAAAAATGTCACATCTCTATTTGTAAAAATTACAAAAAATAAATACTGTCAAATTATATACGGAATTAATTTACAAATTATTTTTAAAAATGAAAATATTAAGAATAAGTATATAATAAATTGATTTCAATAATGATATATCGCATAAACGCTTACGTTGCATACCAATGAGTCCTAAAACAGAAATAAAAGTTTTAATATTAAAAAAATAATAATTTCATAGGAAATAATTGTGAAAAGTGTTTTCAATGGACTCACTGTTACAATGGTTTCAGTGACATAATAATCAGTATCGCTATCCCAATAGCATTCACTCGTCATTCTGTATGATATACCGGTAGTAAACCATAAGGTATTTAATATGAATATTATACTAGTATTAATGCATGCAATCTTAACTCACTTTAATCCCTGACCCCTTTGCTCAGCGATAATCACGGACACCATAAATTTGTATTTTTCTAGATTTAAGTCTATTTGTTTAATATAAAAATAATAAACCAATTATTACATTTCAAGACCAATAGCGATATTAAAAGGACAAACCCTTGAGATATTGTAACAAAACGCTTGTCAAATGGTTTGTAAGAATTGGTAACTCTTTCTCATTGTATTCCTTATCACGAAGTTCTTCATTGAGTTTATATTTAATATGCTTTTTCACATCATTTGCTTTAAATCTAAATTAAGAAATATATATCATTTTTATATTAATTATAAAACCTATTAATACTAATAACATTATATACTAATAATAGGTACTAGAACATTGTGAGTAAATATAACATAATCATTAAATTCACACTTATTCTCGGGCGCCGGACGTATATTATAGGAGCCAAATGTAAATTTAGACATCGATTTGCATGAAGTTCATAAATATTACATAAGTTATACTAAATTGGAGTTCAATTTGAAA